GTGACCTTTCAACATGTTCTCCTTTACTTTCTGGCCTAAGATTCTCCCAAGATATCTTGTAATTTTCCTGTTCTAGCCCAGAATCAGTCATTTTTCCAAGGAGCCCTAGATCCTTTTTACTGGAGAATGGTATCGCAACCAAGATCTGAATGCTGTATGTTCTTACAGACCTTTTCAGTGAATAGGGCGGATTACTATATGTACATATATATATAATAAAATAGTGTTACTTATGTATTATATACACATATCATATGTATATATCTATCAAATATTGACACACATTTATATTTATGTCTATACCTATTTTTATAAGTCGAATACCAGGCATTGACACTGATAAATTCTAATTCCAATACATCATCAGGGGTCTGAATCCAGTTTTCATTCCTACCATATTTGGGACTCCCTTCTCCAGCAATAACAAATCTCATTCCTAGTATTGTTATTACTGTTTTTAAGACAGGGTCTTGCTATTTTGTGATCCTACTGCCTTAGCCTTTCAAGTGGCTGAGACCTCAGGCTCATGCCACCATTCCTGGCCCCTTCAAACAAGGTCTCACTGTGCTGCTCATGCTGGCTGTAAGCTGGAGATCCTCCTGCATCAGCTCCTGAATTGGGGAGATGACAGGCACATCCACTGTGCTAAGCCTCTAGGTTGCAGTAGGAATCAAATCTAGGCCTTCCATGGGGTCCCAGCCTTCAGAGCACAGGGTGTCAGCAGCACACATCACTGCACCTGGATCTCCTGTTGTTATTATTTCTTTTAGAGGTTTATGCCTTTGGGGAACAATCCTATGTTTGCACAGCACAAACAAGAGTCCTGCATTGTACAACGTTAAAACATGAATTATCAATTTTATTTTATTTTATTTATTTATTTTTTGGAGAGGTTTTTGCTATAGGGCGCATGTGCTCTCCAGACAGACAGAGGCAGACAGAGAGATAGAAAGCGAGAAATCCCCCCCTGGGGGGATGGCCACGCCACAATCCCTTCTCCTTCATTCTCCTCTCAGGATCTTGGGCATGCATGCACATGCGCCTGGCGTGAGTTTAAGCCACCAGGTCCAGGACTTGAACCGCGGTTGACTACGTGGGAGTCCAGCGACATAGCCATTATCCTAACTGCTGGTTCCCAGGCTACCCCATCTTATAGAACCCTCTTTACCCTGTTTGGTTCTGACATGCCACACTGGGCTGGCTACTTTGTGCCAGAATTTCTTTCTGATCCTGCTTGTGCTCCAATATTCTGTGTCACTGCTACTACCCTCTCCTACAACCCACATGCCCACTGCCCTTCAGCTGACACAGTGACTCTGAAATTCCATGCTAGGCTACCCCTCTTCCCACTTTGGATGCTCTTCTTTCCAAGCTAGGCTCTGATACCACCCCTACTTCCCACTCCAATCTGCTGCCCAGATATACAGCTGCTTTACTTCACCTAATGACTTTTTAGGTAGAATTGTGCAGGAAGAGAGAGAAAGAGCTTAGAAAATAAAGGAAAGAAAGGAGGGAAAAAAATAGTACAGTATGAGGAGGAAGTTCCATTGTACTAGTCTATTAATCATTAAAAGAAGCTAAAATAAAATTCAAAGATTCATAACTTCTTCATGGAGAAGCCTATTTTATGTACTGAATGGGACCATATGAATTAGTCCCTTATCCTACCACTGTGAATATAGATACAGATACACATAGAGACATATATACACAGAGATACACAATAAGAAGACAGTTAATTATTGTAAGACCATAGTAAGACTCTCCTCTCTCCCTCTTTTTCTGTCTCTCTTTTAATTTGCTAGAGGATGCATGGTCTTACCAGAGAGAGACAAAGAGAGAGGGGGGAAATGAGAAAGCAGTTTCCCAACGGGGGATGGCCACACCACAACCCTTTCTCTTCCATTCTACTTTCAAGATTTTGGGCATACATGCACACACACTAGGTGTTTTTTTTTTTTTTTTTGGGAGTTTTTTTTTTTTTTTTTTTTTTTTTTTGTAGTGTGCACTCACCAGACAGACAGAGAGACACAGAGACAGAAAGCGAGAAATCACCCCCTAGGGGAGATGGCCACGTTGCAATCCCTTCTCCTCCATTCTGCTCTCGCGATCTTGGGCACGCACACACACGCACCCAGCATGAGTTGTAAGCCACCAGGTCCAGGACGTGAACTGCGGTCAACTATGTGGGAGTCCAGCGACATAGCCGTTACGCTAACTGCTGGTCCCACACTTGGTATATTTTTCAAATGCTGGGTCTGGGACTCAAACTACACAGTTGGTCATGTAGGATCCAGCTATTTTCACCACCACTGGCTGGCCCAATTCTGTCTTTATAGTACACAGTAATATTATATTTTTCCCATTCCTCTAGAAGTTAGACATAGTTATATAACTTGCTTTAATAATGAAATGGGAGTATTGGTATCACTTCTGTGGAAGAATTTAATTGCTGATGCTTTAAAATCAACAGATAAGACTCTCCAAGTATCTTCATCCTTTGACTTGGATATTATAGAAGCAGGTCTTTATATTGTGGTGCAACACGGAGACATTTCATGGAAGACAGGCTAACCTGGACAGTTATCCAGAACTGTATGTAGCTAAATGCTCTTGAGGAAAAACAAAATAAATATAGTTTTTTCTTTTAAACTCCTGACCTCTGTATTGTAACTACAGAACAACATCATTGTTCCTTATTAATTACAAGAGCTTTGCTAATTTTCAGTATAATGTTTGATAGGGATGACCTGAATGAGACAAACAAAAATTATAGCATTTGTTTTGTAAATCTAGAAATACTCTGCACCTGGGCTTGTCCTATAAGTTATTTTAACAGAAAATCAAGCAATTTCATTTCTAAACATGCCACAAACCATTTTCATAATGTGGCATATTTCTTTAAAACTATCACAGTAATTTTTTCATTTGTAAACAATTAAGAACTTTTATGACACATACAATGCAGTAATTTTTAAAGATTAGTTGAAAAATATACTTTTGTGTAAAATTATGAAGGATTCTAAACGACAAAGAAACATTTTAAAACTTTATGCAGAGATAGAATAGTTTATAAATCATTTTTAAAAATGGCTCTGAATTATAAAAGACTTATTTTGAGTAAACAAAAATGTGTGTCAGTGTCGAGCAATTTTTAGATATTAAATAAATAGGTTTTGGAGGATAAATTTTTCATAACTATTTCATATAATTACACCAGATGAACAGCAGATGCCTCATTTGACAGCATTTTTTTTGTGTTGTCAATTAAAATTGTGTTTTGAATTCATGCCCTTATGAGTTACTATATAAACATGGATAATTTTCCAGCATGATTTACTTATGATGACTACTAGACAATTAAAATTATCAAAGTACCACCGTTTCAAACTAAGTGGATGGTACATCTCAAAGAGCAATCACAAATTTTTGCTTTTAAAACATTTCATAACCTTTCAGTGTGAAGCATCATGTCTACAGAAATAATGATCTCGTGAGTTCTGCAAGCATGGCAAAATCCCAGCCATGTGACTCCGGGGGCGAAAAGTCAGTCATGACTTGTCACACAGCAAGTGTCTGCAGAGTCTAATGGATTTACAGGAAAGGAGGTGACCACAGATCTAATTTTAATGAAGCCCAAGACACAATCTGAGCTGATAGAGTTTGAAGTCTGAATATAATCTATACAAGGTTAGAATTATTATTTGACAACACAAAGAATGTAATTTTTCTCTCCTAAAATATCCTATTTTTCAATGGACACAATTTTGTAGCAAACAGTAAAGATGATATTGAAAGGATAGGAAAAAGTTATTGGAACTATTAAGAAAATTTTAAATTTTCTCATAGATTGACTTTTAAATTTTCACTGACATAACACTCATTTGTTAAGGTCAAGGTTAGTTATTACACACACCAATACATCAAGTTTGACTAAGTAAGAATACTGTTAGTTTTATAACACTGAAATACTTCATAAACAAGAAAATAAAGGGTACAGATAACAGAAAACTCCCCTATAATTGACTGTTTAGGAGAATACAGAGAAAGCCATGCTTATTAGAAATAGAAATCATTATTTATCAGTGCTAAATAGAATGGGCTAGAAGGGTCATTAGGTTTGATAATGTTGAAATAACATAGACCTATATATGTTCTTGGTAGAGGACATTTTTAAATATGAAAGAATTTGATTTGTTTCTGTGCTTTCCTTACTCCTGTGTTATTTTTCAGAATGACAAGATTAAGTATGACATTATATCATCCAGTCACAGAGAGACCAAATTACTATTTGGATAACAGCTTGAGAGACAATTACCAAGAGCCTTGTATTTCTCAATGATAAAACTTGCAAGTGAGGTATGAATATGTGACAAACATGAAACATTTTTTTAAATGAACACCATCACATATGAGACTTCTAGATCTTAGACCTATATTCAGAAACCTGAATGGCAGAAATTCTATGTATTATATTGGGTTCTTAGAAAAGTCATGACATTATTTTTCTATGCAAAAATGCATCATGACTTTTCTAATGACCCAATAATTTTCAGTCAAACAATAGCCATACTGATGATAATTTTAAATAAACTTTATTCTTGGACATATATGCCTGTTTATGAGAAAGTATGATGTGATTTCAAAAGAAAAACTGACTATTAAAATAACAAAAAATATTGGAATTTTGAAATCCATTTTCAGACCTTTTCATAGGTTTAACACTTTAAAGTAGAAAGACTATGAATCACCAGAAGGGTTGGAAAAAGCAAAATGAGTTCACTTTGAAAAGTCTTTCCTCCTTTATAATAAAGATATATTTCAAGATTAATTTTGGGGAATAGAGTCAATTGCCCAATATAACAACAGATAGTAAATCTTCTTGGATTGCTGGATTTCTAGTAGTTGATTTTCATAGACTATCATCTTATTTATCTTGCACAAATATAATAACCAGTTTCTAGAAGAAACCTAAGTCCCTTTTAAAGTGCGTGACTTACCTTCTTCACCTGCATAGGCCAGAATGGACCGTGCCCGTATCTGTTTTCCTTCTGTGGTTTTCCCTGAGCAGGTATGTGAGCAGGAGGACCACGAAGACCACGTGCTGAGCACACAGTCCTTTGGGCATGGAGCATCACAGGCCACAGGGATGGGGAAGATGGCATCTCTGCACAGCTGTCTGTCAACTTCTTCTCCTGGGAAAGACAAGATCACCACCAATCAATGTAAAATGAACAACTGAAACCAGATGGGCACCCAGATAAATTAGACCATTTTCCTTTTGTTCTTAGTTAAGAACAAAGCCAAAAGAGGTACTGTCTAATATAGTGTGTATGTATAGAACAAGCATACATACACACTCACACACACACACGGATGAGACTTCTTGTATTATCAGAAGTGTAGTGTGTAGATCAAGCACACTGCTGAAAGTACTTTTATGTTATAGATACCTGCCTCTTAAGTGATTTCTGTACTTATTAGGTTGTATTAAGGAACATCAATAAAATATGTTTCCCTCCTTATTTCTTTATTGGAGATGGACCATTATTTACACATAATTAGTAACTCTATCCTTAGCATGACTGAAATGTTATCACAAACCAACTCATAGATATCGCTACTTAAAAACTTGTTTGTATCTCTCAGAGAAGTTATTTTTGTACAACTGGCACCTTTATCTTTCAATAAAAAATTTTGGTTGGAAAGAGCCAGGAAATATTAATAACAGAAGAGCCTCAGAAGTTATTTCATAAGGTGATCACAGTGGAAGGGAGGAAAAAAACCAAACAAGACAATAAATGGCAGGTGTAAAGATGGTATTGCTTCAGTGCATAATACTTTTTATTAGTTTTTTATTGCTCTTAAGATAGAGATCACATTTATTATCATTTTACAAGACTTCAAACAACCTGGATCTTGATCCTTTCCTAGCCTCCTTTCCTTTCATTCCACTCTTTTGCTCTTTAAGAGTTAGAGATTGGTAAAATTACATTCATTTATACTTTGTTGAATGAATGAGATACAAAAAGGCTAACGAGAAAGAAATACTGTTGAAGTTAATAAATGCCAAAGATAACAAAAAGAATTACAGCTTTTTTTTTAGAGATAAAGAATTATAAATAAATGACTAAGCGTGTATGAGAAAAAGTCTGTACTCTGTGTGGCTTAGTCGATTAATATAGGATGCTAATAAAATCAATAGAACACAATCTAATGATGTACAAACATGCAAAAACTAATCTGCTATTTTGTCATAGTATATCACCATAATTCTAGATGGATATACCAAAAATATGTGCCTCACAGTAGGCACTCAGGTGAGAAAGGGTAACTGACTGTGTCATTCGGCTATTAAACAGACAATTCTGAACTATTTCTCACTTCTGGATGGTTAGGAGAGTCATGTTATTGTGCACTCCTTTGTTTATGTATTTGGAAAGTCAGAAGTCAATTGGAAATGCTCCCACATGTGAACCGCTACTAATTCTCAGGGTCTTTAGTCATTAGACAAAATCAGAAGTCAATTAGAATACACTTACATGTTAATAGCCTTTAGTTTATAAGACCTTAAATCATTAGACTTTCTCACTGGTAAATAAAGGAAGTTTATTAAAATTACAGTTAAACTGACACTGTATAAGTCATTGTTTTTCAGTTACTCTGCTCTGTGAAATTTCCCTTAAATTCTGCTTTTAGGCTCAACTGTGAAAGCTGTGCATTGTGTTCTGTAAGTTCAGCCACATGGAGGCCCTTGATGGATTCCCAGTTCAATCTAAATCCCAGGTGCATTGACACACTCTTACAGTCCCAGAGACTGAGGAGGCTAAGGCAAGAGAATTGCTAGTTCAAGACTGACCTGGGCAGAATAGTGAGACTGTCTAAAAAGAGCTAGGCATGGTGGTGTAAGCTTTTAATTCCAGTGGGGGATGGCTGAGTCAGAAGAATCTTGACATAGGACAAGGTCTTTATTTTTTTGGAAGTTTTTCCTACAATGTGTTTGTCATAGAGAGAGACAGAGACAGTGAAAGAGAAAGTGAAAAATCACTGCCAATCCCTTCTCCATTCTCCTCCTAGAATCTTAGGCATGCATGCACACTTGCCCGGAATGATTTTCAAACCATCAGCTCTGGGACTTGAACTGCCATTAGCCCATGTGGGAGCCCAGCAAGGTAACCACTATGCCAACTGCTGGCCTAGGATATTGTCTTAAATAAAATAATTCTGTTTAAGTAGGTAGAGTACAAAAGTCATAGCATAAGGGTTTAAACATTTTATAATTTACATAGTAAGGATGCCCTTTTTCTGCTAGGATTTTCCTTAGTCCAAGTTGGTATGCATATGTCTAATTGCTTTATTTTTACTTTTTTTGTTTTTTGGAGAGATTTTTGCTATAGAGTGTGTTCACTCACCAGAGAGACAGAGAGAGAGAGAGAGAAAGACAGAGAGACAGAAAGTGAAATATCACCCCCCCCAGGGGGGATGGCCACATAACAATCCCTTCTCTATTCTCCTCTTAAGATCTAGTGAACATCGGGAACCAGCAGTTAGCATAATGGCTATGTCGCTGGACTCCCACGTAGTCGACCGCGATTCGCGTCCCGGACCCGGTGGCTTAAAACTCACGCCAGGCATGTGTG